TTCCTGCCATTGGGGCTCAGCTCCACCATGCGCTGGTCGCTCAGCGCTGGCGTGTAGGTCAGCTCATTCCCAAATTTGAACTCAAAGGTGTCTTTGTCCATGACTTCCATCACCTCCAGGAGCTTCACCTGCCCAGGCCCCAGATGAGCGCTCGTTAGAGATGTGCTCAATGGGCAGTGGTGTGCCCGAGCCCCCATCTCTTCCTTCCCAGATAAGGGCTGGAGTGACTTCGACAGCAGCACAGCAGGGGATATGCTGCCCTAGACCTGTTTAGCAGACCGTGGCTACAGCATGCTTGAAGCAGTAGTCAGCATGGCTACACCCCTATATTAGCTATAGGATGCATCAAATGCCAAAAGCGCCCTTTTTGTGTGTTTCATTGACATATCACAGAAGGAAGCAAGCACAACATGAGGACAGGGACACAAATCACCACCTTGCTGACTGCCGCAAGGAATGGGGTAGGCACAGCCTCCCAGTCCCTCTCACCAGCACAGAGTCCACAGCAGGGAAGTCTTTGCTCCAGCTGACCTCCTCCCCTGTTAATTGTTTCCATACGAAGCCAGGAAGAGCCAGGACCTACAGGGGAACAAGGATTTTGCTGAGTCTGTGTGAAAGGAGACATCCCCAAAGGTGGAGACAGAGCTCAACAGTGCAGACACAAAGGAGATCCCCTGCTCCCCCCGTCCACGTGAGAGCTCATCATAGCTGAGCAGAGACCAGACACCCAAGCTCCCAGCAGCATCTCCCAAAACTCAGGCTGTGAGCTCTCCTAACCCCTCGGCCCTAAATCCTGTCAAACACCTTTCGTCCCAGTGTGTGATCACAGAGCCCTCCCATGCTCCTGTCAGACAGGCTGCAGAAGGGAGCTAACAACTCCCTCTGTTGCAAACCTCCATGCAGGGACAGGGTGAATGCTTACCAGAAACTCCTTGCCCCTCAGAGCTGCTCCCATGATCTGCCCGATCCACTCGTACTTTGGGAAGTCTTTACAGGAGGGGTTGGGGACATACATGTCCCTTGCTTCTCCAGTGCCATTACCCTACAGGAGTGAGAGGCAAAACTCCAAGTCACGATCTCAGTGCAGCGTGAAGCACCACAAGCTCAGTTCCTGCGGTACCTCTGGGCACTTCTCACAACAGAAGTGGGCTAAACTCCCCACCCTCCTTAGCAATATTCCTAGTGAGAGACAGCTATCCAGGCACTTGTCAGCATATCCTAAAATGAGATGCCACAAAGCAGTCTCCCCAGCCCTTCAGGAGGAAAAGCTTCAGACCAGCAAAAGTAGGTACTTTTCTGGCATGCAGGGGGACAGGGACAGCACTGCATTGCCAGGCACAGAAAGATCTGCCTCCAACACCCCAACCCACAGCACCTGGTTGGATGTGCGCACAAAGAAGGGCAGAGGCACGGGGGTGTCTGCCGAGCTGGGACACAGCTCCTCCGACATGTCTGCCAGGCTGTCCCGAAAACCGCCACCTGCAACCGCAAAATAAGGACATCTTGTAGTGATGTCAGCTCCCCACGTGCTGACCCTCAAGAGTTATGGAGCAAAGAGGAGGAATTCTGGTCCAACCTGGTCCAGGGTTGAGCCAAACGCTCCTGTCAGAGCCTTACGGCACCAGAGGAAGTAAGACAGGAGAAACAGCATCCCTGCCTGGCCTGTGGAGGACAGCCAGAGGGAGCATTGGCACTGTCCAAGCTGCTGTTAGCAAACTAATGGAGTTCTGGTCCCCATCCCTCCAAGCAGCACTCTTTTATCTGGGACAAGGCTGGGGGTGGCAGGACAAGGCAACCTGCCTTCCCTCTCTCCTCCATGGGCAGTAACACCAGGAGCAAATGAGAGCCCCTACAGCAACAGGTCACCCCAGCAATCCCAGACTCTACTCCAGAGGAGACTGTCTCTCACAGCCCCTACCTTGGTCGATAATGCCCTCTGCGATGAATTTGCACTCCCACCACTGGTCATAACGCAACGGCCACCTGCGGAGAACCAGGCATTGCCTGAGGTGCTGCTCAAGGCCAAGGAGATGCTGGGGAGGCAGCAGGCACAGCAGGGACACCAGGGGACCAGGGCGGACCAGCCTGGGCTTAGTAAAGGACAAGATCTCAATCTCCAGAGACAGCTGCATCCTCAGCAGCGAGGTGACGCCTTGGGGAACAGGCCCTGATCCCATGGGTGACCTGGCTCCTGCCCTAGCAAACCCCCTCCAGAGCACAGGACACACACAGGCTTCCCAAACACCCTGCTGTGATGGAGGACAAAGCTCCCAGAACTGCATGATCCCCCCGCCCTCCCCCAGACACCACTTACCGATAATCTAGAGGCTTTTCAAACTTGTCCGAGGGTTTCAGGCCTTCATACACCTGCAACAAGCAGAGAAGATCAAGGCTGGTATCCCCTCTCCAGGGGAACCAGTGCCAGGTGAAGGCAGGAAACTGGAAGAAATCTGGTTTGCCCCAAACCTTTAAATACTGACCAAATCTGATCTCTGAACGGTGTAGGAGCCCTTCATTTTTTGGAAGGGAACACAAATTACAGCGCTAACCACTGTATGGAGCTTTCTGGCCTCGGAGGTACGTGGAACACATATTGAACCTCGCAGCAGACAGGGTTGTTTGTGCACACACAAAGCAACAGATCTTTTGGTGGCAGGGGGACAATGACAATAGGATGATCAGCATTGCTGTAAAACCACAATACAGGACAGTATGCAGCTGCATTACTGCTGTCACAGAAGAATTGTTTCCTGCCCTTTTAATGTAATGAGATTGCTATGCTCTGCATTAGCAACATGCCACAGAGAGCATCCAGGATAGAGACTTCAACTCAGATATCCTAAATCCCTTCTAGATGTTATTCCTGGATATGGGATCATCAGCACGTGTAATTGTAGAGTCTATGAGTCATGTGAAGAGGCCCTGAGGACTCCAGGTATCTCCAGCTCCAAGCTGTCCCTTCCACCCACCTCTATGTGGTTCATTTTGGTTTTGGGGTGCCCCACTTTTCCTAGAGCAGTGGGGACCCGTCCAGGAGGGACAGTACCTGGGTGAAGACAGCGTTCTTGCAGCTGGGGTCCAGGGCAGGGTTGTCTCTGTGTTCCATAGCCAAGCGTCGGTTAATATAGAGTCGTGGCATGAAATTGGGCTTGCTGGTCTCCGAGTCCTTCAGACACTGGGTAATGAGAGCTGTGCGCCTCTTGGACAGCAGCAAGAACTGCTTGATATGCTGCCAACGGGTATGTCCAAAACATCAGAAGTGCTCAGTGATCAAAACATGTCACCTACTTCCTACTGAAGCCACAGCACTGCCAGGTCTCTCCCCTTCCCAGGGCCACCACCTTCCACACACACATTTTGGCAGGCACGGTGGTGCTGGGTTGACGGTTGGACTTGATGATCTTGGAGATCTTTTCCAATCTTAATGATTCTATGACTCTCCTTAACGCTATTTGCTCCACCTCTGTCTCTGAAAGGTTTTGTTTTCTGGCTTAAGGGAGACACCAAGCCCAGTCCTCTCTCCATCAGTCGTCAGATATCTGACGCTCATGCTCCAGCGTTGCTTGGACTCTCCTTCACCCTCACTCTCACCAGAACATCGGCCTTACTATCCCTCCTATTTGTAATCAAAGCAAGCTGCTCTAAACAAACAAGAATCCTCAAATGCTTTGGGTCCTCTGTCGAGCCAGCACAGGAATTACAGTGCTTTCTGATACCAGGCCTGGAAACGCACAGAATGGGGCTACCCCAGCAACGTCTGGCATGTATTCTGGGAGCGGATGTAAGGAAAACAGACAACTGGAGGGACAAATTCAGTTTTATAAGAAAGATGGAAATCACAAGCTTATTAAAGCCAGAAAGAGGTTACTGGTAAAAGCCTCACTGTTTGGACACAGCCAGATCAAAGGGGCTGGCAGCAAGTGCAGGAACAGAGTGTCCTGGGCTGACAACTCGGAAGGGATGTGTGTCCAGCTCACATGCCTGCTGGTGCTATGGTCCAAGTCCTTTTGAGGGTGAAGTGCTCTTGTTTTATTCTACTTCCTACCCCGTAGCGACATGTTTCCACATCAGCATTTTAGCAGGAAACTAGTCTCTAAACAGTATCACCTTTTGCAGCTTTAATGAACTGAGCTCAGCCAGTTATTTCCCCCGAGCTGCTTTAAAGGCAACAAGCACTGCCTGCCTCCCCTGCCAGAGCCCAAGCGCAATCACCCTGCCAGACTGAGGCCCCACAAGATGCAGAAGGAATTCCTCACCTTGAGTTTGCTGAACGTGCCCACAGTGTGGTCCCAGGCTGGCACCAAGTGATGCAGGACACTGTCCAGGAGCTTGATGAACCTAAATCCCAAAGCAGGAGGTACTGTGACACAGAAGGAACAGGGACCTGCACAAGCCTATTCCAGACCAGACACACGCAGAAAAGTAACAACTGATCCAAACCCAACTCAGCGTGGTCTTTCATATCACAGAGTCTCTGGCACTAAATTCCCACTCCCTAGGCACCACAGGAACTTACAGCTTCCAGCCACACCTGCGCTGGAGATGGCACCAATCCCTGCAGGCAACACCACCCCACTTGTCTGTCCCCCTCCATACAGCACCTTTGAATGAGCACAGCCCGTCGGTACAGCAGGTCAGGGTCTGTTCCTTCTAGGCGAGGGTAGCGCACCAAATTGGGCAGCTGGAACATGTCAGCACTGAGCCCCAAGTCCCTCTGTCGGGAGGATTTGATTTTGATGCCTCGGAGGCGAACATCAATCCCATCATCTGCCAAGGAAGACCATGGATGATACGCTAGGACAAGAAAGCAAGCCTTCCACCGTGGGAGGTCTACAAGTAAAAGCACTAGGAACATGACTAGCTCTGGGGTTGGGCACTGAGAGTCTGAAATACCTCTGTGAAGAAGCAGGGGGGCATTAACAGAAGAAAAAAAAAAACAAACAACAAACGGAAGACAGAGAAAGACAGGATGAAAGCTGAGCGCCTGAAAATCTCCAGGTCCCCCCTGGGGTCTCCCGTGGTCCTTCTGCATCTCGTCTGAAACAGCCCGCAGGGCCAAGAAGTACAGACCACAGGAACAAACTCTTCATGTACAGTAACTTACAGGTGCACTGGGGATGGGGCCATAACACCCAGCCCTACCTCTGCACTCCACAATCCGGATCTCAATGACAGGCAGGTGTGTTGTCATGTCCTCAAGGACGCACACATCCCCAATGTAGCTCCTGTAAACACATGACAAACGAGGGCTGCAGAGCTGTTTCCTCGCCTATCCTCCCAAAATCCACTCGGCCGCTTGCAAGGGAAGAGGGCTTACATCTTCTGAAACGGGAGCCTGTGGCAGGAACCCAGACCCAGTTGCCTACATGCCTAGACCCCACGGCCCACACTGAATGCCTGAACCTGCTGGTGCTGCAGGTCCAGGCGAAATGATCCCGATGGGTCCCACAAGCGGACCAGGAGAGCCCTGACCGTTGTGCCATCTGCTATTGCAGGCAGAGTGAACTGACAGCTCAGATATGGAAAACGCCTGTTGCAAGGCCCTGGGCCTCTTAAGCCAGGCTGGTGCTGGCAGGACTGCTTAGGGTTGGGGTGTCCAGCACCTCAGGCCCCTGCAAGGGCCACGCTTCTCTCTCCACCTCCATCCACTCACTCATCAATGCCGACATCGTTCAGTTTCTTCAGATTGTCCCCCTCGCCCCCGTACACAGCGACCCGCTTGGGCATGAAGTTCTCATCGGTGGTATCCACTGTCAGCAGGAGCTTCCTGCAAAGAGAAGCACGAAATGAGGTGAAGGTAACTGCATCTGAACACCCACTGCTGCTCCCCCTCATTGCCTGGTCACACTTGTTACCAAGCACACACATCTGGTGCTGGGATCACCGGGTACTTGTGACAACACTAAGACTCCTTCAAGCCCAGAGCCAGAGCAAGGGCTGAGGGGTAGGGAGCACAGGGCGCATTTGGGACACGACAGACTCATGCAGAGAGTGGGGGCTGCAGGGCTCGCCCCAGCCACGAGCTGTGTTTGGTAGGAAGATGGTGCTTTGCCCTGCACCTTGCCCGTCCCCAGCACAGCCGCCGGCAGGGAGGGGACACCCCAAGGTCTCACTTGACAATGGTGCCTTTCTTCATGTTGAGCCGCACCCAGTGCTGGCCCTGGGACCCGTCACTTTCCCAGTACGTGTCGGCGTGGCTGTCGGTCAAGCATGACACATTGAAGTCCTCCTGGAAGAGAGCAGTGAATGAAAGGAAGATCAGATGGGGGCAGGATTAACTTCCCCTTAGTGGCTACTCTCGTCAGGAATCTTAGAGCCAAAGGACATCAAATTGGCCCGTTCCCTTTGCTGGGCTGTGGGTAGACATAGAGAGTACAGAGCACTGAGGACACCCTGGCTGACCCTCCAAGGTGCTCTGGGGTCACACACACAGCACAGAATATCAAACCCTCCCTAAAAATCAGCTTAGTAGCTAATACTGGCATTTGCTTCTCAAACCACAGCCCCTGCAGGGGCCACATTACACAACACGCTGCTTGATGCTCCCCAGGCTTCTCTCTCACATCCTCAAACACAGCCCCAGCCCACCAAGCACCATCCATGCCCCACGACACAGAGAGGCTGATCCCTTTAACCCACCGTGTAGGACGAGACATCAATGCTGTCCACGTACTGCTTGACGCTGCCCAAGTTCTCATCCTCCTTCCCAATATGATCGTATAGGAAATGCACCAGGTCTTCGTCACATTCGTAAGTCCACGTTGGAGGAACAAACCTACCAGGCAAGATAGATTAATGGGTCTGGAAAGCCAGGGGCAGTCATGCTCGTGGGTCAGTGAAGGCAGGTCCATGTCCTGCTTGCCTTGGTCTTGCCCTGTCTTCTGCTTTGTGGAGGCTTATCTAGGACAAAACTGCGCCAAGCAAAGCTGTTCCCCGCCGCCCGTCTTCCCCCCTCTCCCCCTGGGCTGCAGGAGGCAGCTGTCTGAGCAGCCAGGGAGAGACAGCAGCTTGCAGCCAACCACGGCAGAAGCTGGCAAACAGCTCATACCGAAGCTTCTCCACTGCGGCCTCATCCTGCTCCATGGGCTTGGGCTTCGCTCCGAGGCGCAGGGAGTACGTCAGATCCACCACCTGCTCCCATCTGAAACAGCCCAGAGAAAGGGGAGTGAGAAAATCCCAGCAGAAAGGAGGAGCTGGTGGTCGAGGAGCAGCTGGAAGGAGAAGACCCGGGTTTAAAGCCCCACCGCACCCCATCCTCCCTCTGCCTCCAGCCT